GAACCAGGCTCCAGAACCAGGGACCGGGCCCATGGAGATCCTCTCCCCAGAGACAGAGCACCCCGGGCCCGCCACAGGCCCATGGACCGGAACCAGGCTCCAGAACCAGGGACCGGGCCCATGGAGATCCTCTCCCCAGAGACAGAGCACCCCGGGCCCGCCACAGGCCCATGGACCGGGCCCATGGTCCAGAACCAGGCTCCAGAACCAGGGACCGGGCCCATGGAGATCCTCTCCCCAGAGACAGAGCACCCCGGGCCCGCCACAGGCCCATGGACCGGGCCCATGGTCCAGAACCAGGGACCAGGCCCATGGAGATCCTCTCCCCAGAGACAGAGCACCGCTGGCTCGCCTGAAGATGGGCTGGGCACACCGTCTGACCTCCACACAACCACCTGCAGGGCCATGCTCATTCGGGGGACAGAGCTGAGCATTAAAAGGACAGAAAGCCGCACAGCACTTGACCTTTGACCCCTAGAGAACTTTGTAAAACCACACCCCGTGGTGAAACCCACACATGTGTTTTCCCAATCCTGTGAGTTAACCCGCTTTCAACTTCAACTTTTAAATAGGAAAGATTTAAAATTCAGGATTAGACTGCATACACTGCACCTCCAGAACCAGCGGAGCAAGTGGAGCTCCTCTCCCCAGAGACGGAGCACTCTGGGCCCGCATCAAATGGGCCACGGGGGTGCATATGCACTCCCGTGGCCCATTTGATGCCCATTTGGGACCCTCCTGGCACTGTTTAAGAACTACCCGGATGGCACAGTTGCTCTTCCTGCCATTTGGGACCCAAACAGGCCAGTAGTCAAGAAAACAAAAGGGACACTTGGGGCATTTTTCCCCCGGCCTCTAACCCTAACCCTACACCTAACCCTTACTTTCCTTCCAACACTAATTGCTTTAAGCACTATTGATTGCTCCCCGGGCGCCACACAATGGCAGCCCACTGCTTCCCAAGGGGATGGGTCAAAATGCAGAGAATTTCCCAAATGTAGGACAATAAAGGTATTTACTTTTTTTTATATATATATAACAGCAGGGGGTTTATTTTCAATTTCAAAGAATCAACAGAAATAATCTACAGTGAACCTCATCACAGCATGGGAACACTAACCATTGGCAGGTTTTTAGAAAAGTGGATTGTTGTTCTTATTGTTATTTTCTTCAGTTAGGCACCAAAGATCAGGTTCACAAGAATAAAGGAAAGAATGAATCTGGATGTTAAAAATTATAAGCATTTATTCAATAAATCTCCATAAAACAGAAAACAAAGAGAAACTATTAAAGGACAGTTTGTACAAATGATTTTTAGATAAAATTACATCACCTGCAACTAACATCAGCTATTTACTGTAAATTGTAAATATATTGCTCTAAATCAGCAGAAAGAAGCAAATCAAAATAAATATTATTAGTGATATATGCTGTTGATTGATGCCTCAACATGAAAAAAATTATTTAAGCTAGTTATCAGCAGTACTGTACTCATAACAAACAAGAACATGTTATTTCTAAATATCTTTATTAATAGCTATAAAAGAGCACAGTGAGATGATCAGGTTGATCCTTCACATGCTTCAAGTTCTGGAGGGACCTATAAAAACAGAAGAACAAAGATACAGATAAATATGTTTTAAATATAATTACAATTAAAATACAGTGAAACTCCTGTATTCTGCTATCTTGTTATTAGAAGTCTTTCACTAATACTAGTTTGGTTTGTTTACCTTTCTATCAGTTGTTTTCTAGTCTGATTCTAGTCCTTGTGTCTTTACTTTAGTTGGTGAATATAACTATATTTTTGGATTTTTTTCTCTTTTTTTCCCCCCTGTTTTACCCCAAATTAAAACAAATTTTCCTCACTTAGATCCTCAATAAGGAGTAGATTCAGTTCACCTGTGTTTTTTTTTCTACCTGCACCAATGTTCTCCTCTACTTCAGTTGTCATCTCTCCCTTAGTCTTGGTGGATCCTCTGTGTTGATCCAATGTTTCAGTCTGATTTTCAGCTATTACATCTCTAGAATCCTTATCAAGCTGTTATGCTCTGGTTTTCTGCACATTGGTCCACAAACCCGCAACCACACAATAATGATATTATATATCCTTTAGAAGTTCAGTTATAGTTCTTAAACAATATCCTGATATAATTCGCAGCTTTAGACTTTTTTTCCTTCACATATATACATATTGTTGTCTCTGTGTTGCCCTGTGATGGACTGGCGACCTGTCGAGGGTGGACCCCACCTCTCGCCCGTAGACAGCTTGAGATAGCAACCAGCACTCCTCGCAACCCCACTTGGGATTAAGCGTGTCAGAAAGTGGATGGATGGATGGATGAATATACATATTGTAGTTTTAAATGACCAATAAGGTAAATTAAAACCAGAGTACTGCATGTAAATGAAAACAAAAATCTCTAGGAAAGAAAAGCATGTTTTTCATCACTGATAGTGGAGGAACAAGGATGATAAAATCTATTTCTAAGCACGGTTGCTAGACTTACAAAAACTCATTGCTCTGCTGAATCGTCCATTCATTTAGCTCTCAGGTGTGATGTTTGCACAAAATTCTTTAGAAATGATGTTTACAGTATTGAGAAGAAAATCACTGGCAGCATAAGTTAAAATAAATACCAATAAAGTAAAGTAATATTTTGACATTAACAGGTTTTAAACAGTGATGCCACTGTGGACTACAACTCTTAAATAGATAAAAAAGAATAAATACCCTTTTAAAAACTAATTTTATGTTAGTTATGTAGCAAAAGTATATCATTCAGTGACATTTACTCATTATATTTTTTTCTTCATGTATTGTTCTTTTACTTGAAAAAAAGAGAAAAAATTAAGTTTACTTGTTATGTTGATAAAATATTTATTCCTTTCTATTTTCTGTTAATCAGAACAATGACATTTTGATGCATCTGTGCTTAAATAACAGTTATAAAATGATAATTGGTATTGAATTTTTGAAAAAAAATCCCTAATGCTAGCAAGAAAACATGACGATGAAAAAAAAGATGTTTTACCTTTTGTTTTCTTCCATCTGTTGATCACCACAACAGTTATTATCATGGCTGCCAAACACACAGGACGAATAATGTTCAACCAAATCCACCCTGATAGAAGAATCAATAGTTGCACACAGTCATTGATTAACAATAATACTGAAACATACCTGCAATAGAGAACTTAATATTGAGGAAATGAGCTTCAAGATATTCAGTCCCTACCTTTGGCTTCTGATGAATTGTTGATATTTGTTGATGAATTATTTCTTGATGATGTCCATTTGTTTGATTCTGTAGTCGTCGATGTGAAGGTATGTGGCTGTGTTTTGGTCATAATTTCTGTATGAGACATAAATGGTTATGTGGTGTATGGTGTGCCTTGGAGGTGGAGACACAAAGGGAGTTGGGTATGCACCAAGGAAGTATATGTGTAATGGTGAGCACTCACCTATCTCACTGATGAGAAGAGTAAGGGTGGGGCTGCCTTAATTTTGTTTGACCATTTTTTGACCATTTCACCGTAATTTTGTCGCTTCATTTCACTACGCTTCATCTTATTTTGTTTCAGTATTNGTTCAACCAAATCCACCCTGATAGAAGAATCAATAGTTGCACACAGTCATTGATTAACAATAATACTGAAACATACCTGCAATAGAGAACTTAATATTGAGGAAATGAGCTTCAAGATATTCAGTCCCTACCTTTGGCTTCTGATGAATTGTTGATATTTGTTGATGAATTATTTCTTGATGATGTCCATTTGTTTGATTCTGTAGTCGTCGATGTGAAGGTATGTGGCTGTGTTTTGGTCATAATTTCTGTATGAGACATAAATGGTTATGTGGTGTATGGTGTGCCTTGGAGGTGGAGACACAAAGGGAGTTGGGTATGCACCAAGGAAGTATATGTGTAATGGTGAGCACTCACCTATCTCACTGATGAGAAGAGTAAGGGTGGGGCTGCCTTAATTTTGTTTGACCATTTTTTGACCATTTCACCGTAATTTTGTCGCTTCATTTCACTACGCTTCATCTTATTTTGTTTCAGTATTCATTTTTTTCCTATATTAATTAAAAGATCTCACTTTGTTTGCAACAATCATCCCTGCTACGCTGTCATAACTCATGCTGGTGCTGATAGCTTTAGAATAGAATTCAACTTTATTGTCATTCCACTGTTACAAGTAGGCCTACAAAGCAATGGAATGAATTCTCTGCATTTAACTAATCCCCTTTGGGAGCAGTGGGCTGCCATTGTGTGCCACCCGGGGAGCAGTGTGGGGTTAAGTGTCTTGCTCAGTGAACCAATGTGGCAGTCTGTGGGAGTGGGGCTCAAACTCAGAACCTCAGGATTCCTAGCTCGATGCCCTAACCACTAGGCTGCCACTCCCTTAAGAACAACAAAACAAAAGCATCCTGGATTCCAGCGTATCTGTAACAATAAACTACTAAGCGCGTCACAAATAGGGCAATAAACGAGGACGCAACCCGACTCTCAGCGGCTAAAAGGATTTGTTTGGAAGCCACAATAATTTCTTTTACTGTTAAAGTTGAATCTATATATGAAGAAATGCAGTAAATATAAAGCAGTTTTAAACAGTTCAGAATAAAACATATAAATAGAAAGGTGTAACAATTTTAAGTTTAGATTTTTAAATTATATTCAATCTGAGTTAATGAAAATGCTCTCACCTGTTCTTCCAGCAGTGGACTGATCTCTGAAGTCAAACAGCTTCTCTTCTTTAGTCTGACTATCTGTCACTTTACACTTTAAGATTGGAGGAAAGTCTGACTTCCAGTCATGGATTGATGTTGGAAACGTCACACTAGCAGAGCATGACCGTTCTGATTTCTCTATGTGTGAAAACCTTTTCTCCACATCCTCATA